GGAGCTTGAAATCGGGGGGCCCGAACGGGTGCCCGGTTCCAAGGGCGAAGGGGGCCGCCCGGGGGCCCTTCAATTCGGGCGGGAACCCCCGGGAACCGGGCCCCCGGACCCTGGGAACCCCCCCCCCGCGGTTCCCTTGGGGCGAGGCGCTGTGGCAGGGCGCAGGGTTCCGGGCGCGGACGGGCCGGAGGACAGTGTGGGGAGCGGCCCCGGACTGGCTGCCGTGTTGCCTCTCCCGCACCGGGGAGCTGTCAGGCTGCGCCCCCAGTTGAGTGAGGCTAAGCCCTGCTGTCGGGGGTCCCCGGTACTTTCCGGGAAGCCTGGGGGGCAGGGACTCTGCCGGAGGGAAGGACGAGCTGACCGGGCACCTGCACCTCGGAGACGGAAGGAGCCTGCCTGGGTGTGACCCTATCGGCGGACGAACAGCTTCTGTCTTACTTCGTGGGTGTGCGCACCGGCCAGGCCCCGGGGATCCTGGGGCAGGGGGGCTGCTGGGGGCGGGGAGCTCTGGGAGAACCTCGGGAGCGGAGAAGAGATGTGGAGGGAGTGTTAGAGGCCGACGCTCCCTCCCCCCTGCCAGAGAGACTGGGAAAGCACCCACTTTTCTGTCCTGTGTTGAGTCCGACCCCTTTGGCATCTGAGCGAGTGCTCGGCTTTGCCTCCGCGCCCCACCAGCGGGGGGAGAGGCTCCCACGGGGCCCAGCCACGCACAGATGCACCCGCGCGGGCCACCCACTCACCTGTCCTGTCCCAGCGGAGCCCACCAGTTAGTTCTCACCTGGCCCTTCCGCCACACCACGGATGGCGCGGCCAGGCGGAAGCCCGAGCCTTCACCTCCAGGCCGCCCTTTAGTGCAGCGCTGCAGGCGTTCCTTCTCTCCCTGATGCCTGTGCAGCTTCGTTGGCATTCTCAGGTTTTCCCCATTTCCCCTGCCTCCTGCCCACTCTCACTTCCCCTGGCCCCCTTCAGATACGGAAACCAGGAAGTTAGCTGCCACCTCGACTCCTAGGAAGCATTGCTACCTACTTTTTAAAAAATTACATGTTACTGATTTTAGAGAGGAAGAGATAGAAACATCACTGATGAGAGAATCATTGATTGGCTGCCTCCTGGGGATTGAGCCCCCAACCCAGGCATGTGCCCTCGGCCAGAATCGAACCCAGGACCCTTCAGTTTGCAGGCAGACACTCTATCCATTTAGCCAAACCAGCCAGGGCCTTTTTTTTTTTTTTTTTTTTTAATGCCTCCTGCAAGCCTCCTGTTGGGGATTGAGCCTGCAACTTGGGCATGTGCCCTGACCGGGAATCGAACCAGGGGCCTCTTGGTGCCTGGGACCACCCTCAACCAACTGAGCCACACCGGTCAGTTGTGGAGTTTTGGTCACAGTACAAGCCCTCTTCTAGGCCTCTGGGAGGAAAAGAGAGAAGAGAGCGTGGTACGATGTGAGGACAAGAAGTAGAGTTTCTGGTTCTGCACCGACTTGGCCTTCCTGTCCCGGTTCTGTTCCAGTCTGTGCCTTATTTGAGGTCCCGGGAAATGATACTTGGTGGTTGGCCAGTTTCTTTGGTGACAGGTCCTGGAGTTCATGGTGAGCCTCTGTTTGCTCCACTGGGCTTGGGAGGACACCATTTCTTTTTTTCTCAGGGTCCATCCACAGGTCTGCGGTCTGTGCTCAGAGTCAGCAGAACTCACCGTGAAAGTGATGCGTTTTCTCCAGTTGCACAAAATGAACGTGCGGTGGTTAGCCAGACCAGGAGCTCAGCCTCGTGTAGAGTCCAGGTGGGAATGGGCCCCACTGCGGGGAGTTAGCCCTGAGGGCAACTGGCGGAGAAGTCAGCTGGGGAAAGATTCTTGTCCTCTCTAAATAAGGGAGGAGGTCTCTTCTAAAGAACAGTCATGATGCTGCCAGTACTTTGTGGGAGTGATAGGACTTTTGAGCCCTTTTGATGGCAACACTGGGAAACAGCAGCATGGAGCCTGTTGGCACTGGACGTGCTGCTTGGTTACCTAGTGAGGCGGGCATTGGTCCATTGCGCCATGGAGGTGCTCGCTGGGCCTAGTACTGGCCAACACTCCACCTGGGCGCCTATCCCTGTTGGTTGAGATAAATTTGAATACAAAGAGGGGATCACATGTTTCCTCATTAGAAAGGAGCAGTTTGGGGTTTCCAGTTGTGCCCTGATGGCTCCGTCCCCTCTGAGGTGCTGCAGTTCTCAGCTCTCTGATCTCCCTTGTCCTTTCTCTTTGCAGCCTACTGTTCTGATGCGGAAGGGGAGGCAGAAAGTGCCACATTTGGATGCCCCTCTGGGCCTGCCCACCTGCCTCTGGCTGGAATTAGCTGGACTCTTCTTACTGGTTCCCTGGGTCATGGGCCTGGCAGGGACAGGTGGGCCTGAGGCCCAGAGCCCAGGGGCGCTGAGTTGGGCTGTGCATCTGGGCAACCTGGAAGGCAAGGGGCAGGAGGAGACTCTGGAGCAAAAGGCAGATGCCTTGGCCCAGGCAGCAGGACTGGTGAATGCTGGGCGCATCGGGGAGCTCCGGGGGCACTACCTCTTTGTCCACCCAGCTGGGCACCAGTCAGACCAGCAGGTAGAGGCCATCCGGCAGCAGGCGGAGGCCGTGTTAGCCAGACATGAAGCTGTGCACTGGCACTCAGAGCAGAAACTGCTAAAGCGAGCCAAGCGCAGCGTCCACTTCAATGACCCCAAATACCCACAGCAGTGGCACCTGGTAAGTCCAGCCCTACAGTTCCCAGCTTCAGATGGGCAGTTCTGGATATCCAATTCTCTTTTAAAAATAGTAATTAATTACTTCATTTATTTTATTGATCTGAGAGAGAGAAATATCAGTATGTTGTTCCGTTTATTTATGCATTCCTTGGTTGACTCTCGTATGTGCCCTGACCAGGGATCTAAACACCACCTTGATGTATCTGGACAACACTAACCAACTGAGCTACCCGACCAGGGCTATCTGATTCTTTAGTGAACGCTGACTGTATGACTTTCCAGCTTGCCTGGAGAGACATTCTGTGGGCTTCGGTGGTGTGTTTCTTCCTCGGGCTCCGTCTTCCCTGTGCTCATCTCTAGAGAGCCAGTGGGCTGCAGTGGTCAGGGCCTGGGTGCTGGAGCCAGGCTGCCTGGGCCCAAGTTCCAGCTCTGTCACTTACTAGCATGTGCCTTTGGGCGAGCTGCCTAACCTCTCTGTGCCTCAGTTTCCTTCTCTATAAATGGGAGATTTTATTTTATTTTATTTTGGGGAGATTTTAAAAGTACCTCTTGTAGAGGTAGTAAGGATAAGTGAATTAACATGTGTGTCCCTAACACATGATCAACACTTTATAGTGTTAACTACTAACATTATATAATCTATATATATAAAAGCCTAAGCGACTGTTAGGACCTAACAACTGGAATGACCCTGGCAGCCCCAAATCTGGTGCACCCGCACCTTGGACCCAGACAGGAGGGAGGAGGGAGCTCGATTCCTTATGGAATTGGCCGTTGGTTAGCTTGCTGCTAGGGCCAACCTCCCGTGGGTCCCTTCCCCCAGCAGGCCGCCCCCCCCCATCAGCCCTGATCACCGGCCAGGCCGAGGGACCCCACCCGTGCACAAATTCGTACACTGGGCCTCTAGTGTTAACATAATATACATTATGGAGCATAGTAATTGTACTAGCCAACCTTAAGCCTATC